ATTAAAATGCTGGGAGGCACTTACGCGGACGTGCATGTTGTTATTTTTTGGCGTACTGCAACCCCACGTGACTTCATGTCCACCTGCTGGGTAAACAATACAGTCATTAGAAGTTGATGAAGTTTTTGTTAATCGGGTCTCTTAAATACACTATTAAGAATAAACAATATTGATCAACTGTTTCATTTGTTAAAGAGACGAGTAGAGATGAAGAACAGGAATGCGAAGTGCTATCATTTATTTTCTTTTTCTTTTATTTACCAGTTTTATTATCATTTTTTTCATTAAATTGTAATTCCTATTTATCTGTTTATAATTAAATAATCAATTTTATATATTATTTATTATGAATAAATAAAATGAAACAAACAAATAAATATAGTAATTAAAAGTGTCATTTGTAGAGGTTAAATACTATATAAAAATCTGTAGATTAGCAATGTGGAAGAGTGTTGAAAACAAAGGAACAACTGAGAATTGTTGTGCTTTGTTGCTTTGTTTTGTGTGCTTTCTTTTTTATTTCCTTAATTGTTTAAAATAAATTCAAGCTTTATTTTATTTATTTTTAACACAACATTCTTATTTCTTTGAGCATGAAATGTATCAACACTTGCTAAATAGTTCACACACCCCAGGTTCATTTAAATACACCTCGAGCTGAACAACACTGTAGATAATCAGCTTTTTTTTTTCATTGTGATTAAATATTGCTTATTTGAGTGATCAAAATGTTTGCTTTTGACCATTTATGTGTTTGAATTACTATAGCTCTTTAGCTGATACACATATTGTAATGGTCAGTTATGCATCATATTTGTACTGTAACTGTGTGCCACTGCCTTGAAATTTTCATATAAATAAAACGGGGAAAAATGATTTTCAGATCAAAGATTGATAATATCATAAGTCTCCCTTTGTGAATTAATTATCCCTGTCCCTGTCTGAATAACTATATTCATTACATGTTGTGGTAGCAAAAACTATCTCTATTAAATATGATAATGGTATAAAGGGTGGATGGTCATGTTAAAAAAAAAAAAGTTGTATATTTGCATCTAATCAAAATATTGTTCATGCATATTTAAATATATAGGCTGCATAGCAGATTTTGACTTGGTTTTATTGGAACATTTTAACACTTCCAATATCTGATAATAAATATCTGTCAGATGTCTGCAGAGGTGTTAGGAATGTTTTGTTAATTGATCAGAAATAGAATATTTATTGCCTTCTTTTCACCACATGTATGCATTTAAATAAAAGGTTGAATCAAGCAAATGCATCATTTCATGGGTTTTATCACAAAGAAATAAAAACACATGCATTTTCTATATGGATTTTAGGGGAGAAAAATCATTGTGAGAAAGCTGGCATGAAACATAAGGGTTTGCTGCCACCTACAGGAATGTTTTGGAATCCACTTTTGGTTCTCAAAAAAACAAACAGTGTGCACACAACTTTGATTAGACACTGCTGCCTAGTGGCCAATTGTAATACTGCACAAAAAAAAACTGAATGCAAAAGTTTTCTGGAATTCACACTTCATAAGAATCTAACATTGATTAAATAGCTATACAATAAAAGGCAAAAGCAAGTAAATAAAATAAACAAAAAGTGTACATTTTTATAAATGAATGAAGTAAAAATATTTACTAAAGTCAATTTTAGTCATCCATGTCTTGGCTACATTAAAAACAAAAAGTTGTCATAATAGCAACCTACTGTTCACTGACAATTATTTGATAAAAACACCTTTGTTTGAAATATGAAATAATATCTAAATGTAATAAAAGCCATCTTAAACAATATGTATTTAAAATGCACAACTGGCTGAAAGGCTTTTCAATCAAATATAAAACTAAAAGAAAACAATTCAAGACACAGTCCACATATAAACTATAAAATAAAACATAAGAAATAATCATTAAAGAATTTTATAAATTGTATAAAAATATAAAAAAACATGACAACTTGCCAAAACCTTACATATTTTCATTATATTATCTGAATGTAATGACACTGACAGTGTGGTAATTATTATGTTTATTTGCTTATCCAACCGATATAACAAAATATGACCATTGTAAAACTTTGTTTCAAGAACCAAAAATTGGTCTTAGTTATCTAGGTGTTTGACGCTAAAATACAAAACCACAAGCATTTAAAACTCATAGTTACTGTTTTATATAACCCTTGAGCCAATTGCCCATGTGACAACTAGCCCCAGTCTCTTCTACATTTCCAAACAGAAGCATTGTGTTGTTTCAGTACAGATACACATATATAATTCAAAAGCATTTATCAAGGCTATCAGGTTCAGCAGACGACATGAACACATCAAAGTGTCCCACGTCTACCAGACACTAGTGACCAGGAAGTCCAGCATAGTTCGGCAGCACTCGCAGCTATTTTTAAGCCTGGCAACCACACAATGGTCAGCTGCAACCTGATGCTCTGTGCCTAGTCACATTGCGCGTGAGGGTTTAAGGCGGTTAGTGTTGTTCTCTCAGGCTTTACCCATCCAGCATTACCCAGGCATGTCTGGGGAAGAGCTTGTACCCTCCGTGGTCTCCTGCAGCCTGGAGCTTCCCATCTGTATGGACTGGATAATGAAAAACAATGAGGAAAACATAAAAGTGGAGAAAACGGTGGACCGGATATTAGAGGGGAGCTCTGGAGATGAATCCGAGGAGGTGAAACCTGACCCCCCACCGGTAGCCATACGAAGAAAGGTGTCATTTGCGGATGCCTTTGGTCTGGACCTGGTTTCCGTGAAGGAGTATGACAACCAGAATTCATCAGAGCTGGAGGTAAATAGTAGAGAAGCTGAGGAATACTACATCTCTTGCCTCTTCAATATCCCAGCGTTGCACCAGAACATGGAGGTGAGACTTCAGCAGCAGAAGTTGGAGCTGGAGCGCATCGAGCTGCTCCCTGGATCCACCACAATCCGCGGCATCATCCGCGTTCTTAACCTCTGCTTCCACAAGGCCGTCTACGTCCGTGTCACTCTGGACGGCTGGCAGAGCCACTTCGACCTGCTAGCAGAGTACATGCCTGGGTCCAGCGATGGCGAGACGGACTGTTTCTCTTTCCAACTCGTGTTGATGCCTCCGTTCCAGGTCGAAGGGTTGCGGGTGGAGTTCTGTCTGTGGTATGAAAGTCCTGTTGGAATATTCTGGGCCAACAATGGAGGGACGAACTACATTGTCTTCTGCCACCAAAGACAAAGGAGCGATCTGAAAGAGAAAGAGAGTGAAAAGGAGAAGTCGGTAGAGGAGAGTAACCAAAAAGGTATCAGGAGCTGCCTTAAAACAACCAGGTGGGGAACACTGCAAAAACATACATTCGAATCATCACTATTACTCATGCTTAGTGTTAAGGATTTGAACTTTGGTGTGTAACTCATCCCGGATGTGAATGATACAGTAAATCGGACTGTTGAAGAGCTGTTACTTCTACCAAGTAATCAGACTTACAATTTTAGCCTTGTAGATGAAAAAACTGTCCAAAAAATTCCATATATGTACACTGGAAGAAACAAATAGTCTTTAAAACAGGATTGTGTTGCTATGCAGGATAGTAATCGCAAAGCAAAACCTTTGGCAACCACCCAAAACATCCTACCAATTGCATAGCGGCACTTAAAATGATTCAGAACACCATACAGTAGCGGAACTAAAAACCAGCCTTTTACGCTTCATGGCTAAACTTTGTTAAATAGGTCAACTTAATTTTTGTGTAACTCAAAACTAAATGTATTTCTCTGGTTGTTCAATCAAGCACTTTTTGTTTTGACTGGAGATGGTATGTTTGAACACATGGCTGGTGAGTGTGATTGAAAACTTGCCACATATTTACAGTAAAAAGACCTACTGGGAGGCGACACCTGCAGAGGCGAGCGGTGAGATCTCAGGTGGGTTTCTTATGTGGAGATCTGGGAATAGGGAGCTTTGATTCTGAGGACAAGAGACCGAGTTTGAGTTTTTTTTTCTTTCTCCAGAACAAGTCACACCCAAGGCCAGGCATACTAGGGAGAACATAACAGAAAAAGAAGTAGGAATCAATTCCTTCAAATCCCTTAAGGACTGCTGCAAAACTCTGGTAGGGTCAATGAGTGCTCTGTCAATGTCCAGAGATAAAGGCGGGCATTTAGAGAGGTAGTTCACCAATAAAAGGGGTAGTTTGCCAGAATAAAACCAGCTGTTTTTTTCTATTGATAAATATACAGGCTTTGAACAACTGGGTGAACGATCTCTTTAAATGCAAAGTAGGAAGTTATTAGTAAAGATAAATTCATTTTGCATTTTGCAACATTATATTCCACTCAATAAGTGCCTCTCATTACAAACATGACATAATAAAGTCTGTTGAAAACCAACTTTTCTCTCCATATTGTCTCTTTTTTGACAGGTGGATCGTCGTAGGAAACGTCAAGCTGCTCGTTTGGCACACGTGCAGGACTACTTCACTCAGAAAGCAATGGAAACCCAGAAGGGATGTATTTCCAACACAGATGAAAGTACCACATCCATCCCAAGGCTGAATATACCAAGTAGAACCGACTTGCCGGTTGTCCACGGCCAACAAGCCGTGGACACGCCACCAATACTAATGTACCACCAGATCTCTTTGCTTTCCCTGGATTGGGGCAGTACCACAACAACACCCCCCCAATCAAACCCTCCAGATGCCTACAGTGAAACAAGCCATCAGGCAGAAGATCACCTAGCCATATCGGCTTCTAAGGCCTGGGAAGCTTTTCTTAATGGCACTGATACGCAGGACCAAGTATGTGTTCGTCCTGAGTCAGAAGTTGTAGCTTTAAGGGCCAAAGTTGTAGTCGCGACGGAGGACAAGGGAGCTGAGAAAGACCCCAGTCAAGAGTCTGCTGACAGGAAAGCAATGGAAACTGTAAAATCTGATCCTGTAGAGCAATCAAAGGATCTGAACATGAGTCCTTCTAGAGATCAGGTTGTGGATTACCAACTAGTGAAAGGGCCAAGGGTCACTACCCTACCATGTTCTGCCCAGGGATCGGAGCCAGAGAGGGCGGTAAGTGAGTTAGAGGCATCTCATTACCGCCAAGCCCCACATCATGAGCACACAAGCGGATCTTTGAGTCAAGACACGACCAAAGCAAGCCCAGGGGGCGAAACTCGAACCACACATGACACTGAGACTCAGAATTCAGAAGCCGGAGATGGAATCGCACCTGAAGAATGCATGGGCAGCTCCGACACCTCAAAGGTTAAAGAAAACACACACAGAGTGGTCAAAGACACCCTGACATTTACGGAGATCAGGGACGTGCCGCTCACAAATAGACAGGCCGAGGGATCTTCTTCAGAAAGGAAGGATATAAATAAAGACGCCAGCGAGGAGCAGGTGGAAATGAGGGCGTTTTGTAGAGAACTACATGAAGAGGAAACGGAAAGCAGTAGAAAAGGACAAGATGAGACAACTACGGATCACAGCGCAGAAATACAGAGCGTTTCATCGTGCGAGAGGGAAGCATTTAATGAGAACGAATTATGCACGTCGAACAAGATTTTTAACAAAGACGGTTCAGAGCTATTGAAAAACGAAGAGAGGCGTTTTGAGGCAAACGAAGGACTTAAAATGAGGGAGCGACTGAATGAGACGACTATAGAACCTGCTAGTGCTGAAGAGCTTGTAGAGGACTCCCAAGCAGTGGATGACAATTGCACAGATGGAGAAGAGAAAGAGTTTGAGAGTCATGCTACCAAATTTGTACCCACCCACTTACCTACCTATCCAACAGTTAGCGTTTACCCATCCAGACACCTCCTTCAGACAACATCTGCAAAGGAAAGAGAGGTCACTTTTGCAGAGGAAGACTTTGAGCTTGGGAAGACCCTCAGAAACTTTCAAGAACCCCAGCGACTGGATGAAGAGGATAAACTCTCCACGCCGTTACCCAGCATTCACCTGTCCTGGGTGGACGGCAACAACAGTAGGCTGTTATCATGGTGGAGGGAGTTCTGCTCGCTGGGTCACATGGCCAAGGCTCTTGTGTATGCTATTCTGTTTGTGATCTTCATAACAGCGTATCTCTACGACCTACCGACCTGCATGGCCCTCTATCTGTTTTCTCTGTGCTGGTGGTGCGGCCAGGGCATGAAGCAGCGTCTGGACGGGGCTGTCAATGTGGACTGAGACCAGACAGGAAGTTCTTGAAAGTTTCTGAGGCAGTTCTTGTCAAATTGTGTGACTGAAATTAAAAGTGACACAAAGTGATTCTACGGGCCCAAAATCATTTGACAAAATGAGATTTAGGTGGCATTTTTGTTTCTTTCTTTCTCCTCACTTGTGTTCCCATTAAAAGTCCCATTTGAAACAGGAGTCTTTTAATATAATCCTAAATTCAAACTGCGAGAATAGTGGAAATGTGCTAATCCATATTTTGTGATATAATTAAATGACAGAAACCCTCTTGTAATGTCAAAGGAAACAACTGTTTTCACACATATAGTCAAAAGTATACAGTAGATACTAAATCTTTTCATTTTTGAGCTTTTACTTCTACCTTTTTACAAGTTTTTAAATTAGTCTTTTTTGCCTTGTTTTCCAGTAAAAAATAAGTCCTTAAAAGAAGATAAAATTACTACACAAGCAACAGTACATAAGATATGAATACATATTCTGATTTTCATTTAGTGCATCCTGTAAAAGTGTAAAAGAAAAAAAAAATCAGACAAAATACACTGATATTAAAGACTGATATTTTGTTTCTTACTTAAACTAAAAGCCTAAAATTTTAATTTACCAGATTAAGTGTCTTGATTGTAATGCTGGTGCTGGAGATTGGAAGACCTCCTTGTCTCTCTCAAATGATTTAACCTTGTTCGTCGTTCCTAATACCCCTAGACTGGGGAGCGACGAAACAATACAAAAGCATTTCATCATGAGCCTTTGTATCAAAAAGTGTCATGGGGATCAATATTCAGTCCCAAACTTTTGACTGGTACTGTACCTTTATATAATGTTTCACTGGGTTCATACAAAGGCATACTGAATGCACTATGTAGCCTGTGAGGACACAGCTGCATTTCATGTCTCTTTGGGGATGTATGTGACAGACGTGACATTTCCTGCAAATCTCATCATGTCTCTGTTCCCAAAAGAGAGAGGGAGAGAGACAGAGGCTGGGGAAAGAATGGGGCTTCTCGACCCTCTGATCTGTGAATATAACTCTATATAATTCATAACTGATAGCCTTAAAGGCATAGTTTATGTACAGGTAAAAATTCCCCTCATTTACTCACCCTCATGTCTGCAGGAACACAAAATGAGTTTTCATACTCTTCCCCATGCAATTACAAAGAATCTTTAAAACGCCATTAAAACATCATAAAGTATCATAAAAGTAGTCTATATGTGAATATGGTGCAATCTATAATGAGCCTAATTTACATAAAAACATTGTGTGTTTGGGCTCAAAAGAATGCATGATTTTTATTCCTTGTTGAACTGGATTATGGGTGTTTAGTGAAGACGCTGAAATACAACACTGTTTATTGAATTTGCCAGTGTGTTGGTCTTTGTATGTGCTTGTTTTAATTTTGGACAAATGCAGATCACTGTTTATATGTGAGTGTGTAATAGATATGTTCTGTGTGTGTGTGTGTTGCTGCAGTCATATGATCCAGTCTACTATGACTCTGACCTTTCGGTGTCTGGCTGCTGACCTCACGTCCAACTCAAGCTCTTCATACAGAAAGAGCACACATTCATAATTTCACTGTTATTAATACCTTTATTCACCGCAACATTTACTAACATTAAGAGCACTAAAATCCCCAAAAGGAGGAAGCTAAGAATTATATTTTTATTTATTCACACATAAGGCATAAGGCTGAATAAGGCTTATACTGCTAAAAAAAATGATACTGTATTACCATCTAAGGACATTCAAAGGGCAACTAAACTTCTTAAATGTGTTTTTAAACTTGTCTGTAGCAAATAATGTCATTTATGTACTGTCCTTCTATACAATTTCATGTATTTACATTGCATACAGTGTTTCCAGATGATCCAGGCATTCACACATGGTATTTTATGTCGGTCTGCAGTAGAAAAAAAAAAAAAAGAAATCAAATGAAAAATGTTTCAAATAAACTGACCACTAAACACTGTCTGGAATAAAAACAACTCAAGTTAATAAATAATAGTCACCCAAAACAAATGAGCACTTACAGTTATTCATAACAAAAGAATTTGCACCATTTTTAGTTTTAATATGCAGTTTGTGCTGACCAACGTCATGACAGACAGACGTATGTTCATTGAGTCTTCCTGTGCATTTCCATTGAGCTCAGCATGGTTTGTTATTAAAGTGACTCAGGAGGAACATGATATTCCCAAACCCCACTCACAGATGAAAGACACGTAAGCCACGAGATAAAATATCGCTACGATCACATGCGGGATTTTTTCTGAGGCGTGAATACTTCAGATGTTTCATGCATGCTTGCTTTGCAGTTAATTATGTGTTACGTGTTGGCACCCTTTCCCTTTTTTTCTGAAAGTACAGGCATCTTAAACTTCTAAAAAGTCTAAAAGTTGCTGAGCTTCACCAATCTGCATATATTGTCACATTTTGCATTTTGCAGTATGTGCCAACTTCATGACAAACATGCCCTTATCAAAATTAAAGTTATTGTAATCTAAATAATTGAAAACAATATTGCATAATTAAGATTGTGACTTTTTATTTTTTTATTTTTATTTATTCTCTATTTTTGTATTTAACTTTTATTTACAGTTTGCTTTATTTTTACTTGTATTCTATTTATTTTTATTTGATTTGCACTTTCATTTTTTACTTTATTTGTATTTTCAATTTTTGTTTTCTTTTTTTTGTATTTTATTTGTATTTTTTGTATTTAATTCATACTTTTATTTTTTTATTTTATTTGTACTTTAATTGTGCTCTATTTTTATCTGTACTTTGTTTTTTTACTTATAACATTTTTTTGTTTTGTATTTTATTTCATTTTACCTTATTTTATTGACAAAGTAGGGTTGCAGCCACTAGATGGAGCCACAACAGCACTTTTACTCCTGACAGCTCAGACTGGAATAAATAAAACAGTCAGGAGGAAATTTGCCTTGACAGATTGTGCTGGGTCAAACACTCAGGCACCAATGTAAGCCAATGAGATGTGTAGCTGCCACGTAGAAAATTGTAATAAACACAGATATTGATTGAATATGTTTGTTTTGGGGACTGAAAGGCTAGAATTAGCTCACTGCTAAAACAGAGCAGGCTACATGACACACGACGGCAGCACGTACCGCTGAGATCTGCCTCGCTTTCTCATACACGCACACGTCACACACATAAAACACACACAGACACAGCCATCCGTCTTCTCGCACGTCCAAGCACAGAATCTGGGTTACATCCTGGGTATCCCAGGAGGCCAAGTGCTCATACATCATTATTGAAACATCCCAAGCTCCCGAGGACGGATCACACATGCCTCCTAACGCTCTCTAATCTTTCTCTCTCCCTCTCTGGGTTACGTGTGGGCTTGCCAAGTTACCTCATCCGTCCCCATACACATTTATATAGTGTTGTGTATGTTTCCAACAGGATGTAGAGCGGCGTTCTGCAGACTCTGCAGAAATTGTGGAAACTGCAGAAGCAATCAAGTTAAACGACTGTCCTTTCATGCTAGTCACAATAATGCTACTTTTGATAAATAACCACAGTTGCTATGTTTACTTTACATGCAGCCTAATGATTCATTAATAATTTGACTAATAGTGCAATCAGAATGAAAAGCCTTCTTTTGGCTTGAGAAGGTAGGTCATAACAAAAAATAAATAAATAAATAAAAATAAATCCTCTAAAACCACCCAACAAGACCAGATAAGACCAGCAAAACATCTTAGTCTAGTTTAAGAAAGTTATGGATCCAACTAATTTGAGTTAAATCAACCTGGAAAGAAAACATCTTAAACCAATTTAAACTGGATTGCTGGTTTTAGCTGGTCTCCTAGCCTGTTCAGACTGAATTGTTGGCAGGTTTTAGAGAAGTTATGAGTGCTTTTCTGTCAGGACCACTATCGTCAAAGATGATTGACAATTAGCATACAGTTTGGATTGGCGGTATGGTTCCGTTCTGGGCAAGAACTCCCTGCGCATCCATGCAGCCTAGCATGGATGAGAGCAGGGAGAGCAGCGATAACCCCCCAGGGTAAACAGAACAGAACCAACATAAATGTATTGCAGATATCGTTAAGTTCAATAATGTTATGTACACATTTTAGAATTAGTCTGATTCAAAGGAGAATCAGAAGGCTGAATCCTGACTGACAGAGGAGGAGTTGGGGATGGAGGAGGGTAATTAGCTATTGAGCAATGCGAAAACTGCTGATACTACTGCGGGACCTTATATATGAATACTTAGATAGGTGTCGTGTTCCCATAGGTTGATGGGGATCAGCTGAGAGTCAGCTGATGCGAGCTTGACTAACGTGACCTGCCAGAAATAACGCTACGCTAGATTTCAGCTAATCAGACTGGACCAGATGGACAACCAGCTAAAACCATTATAAACCAGATAAGACCAGCAGACCAATTTTAGGACCTTTTTTTTTGGCAGGGTAAATCTTAGAATACATCATAACATCTCTAGATTTGCAATGGCAGTTGGATTAAATTACTGGCGATCTGAACATAGCCTGGAACAAAAACATCTTAAACCAGCCTAAACTAGTTTGTTGGTCTTCAGCCAGTCCCCTAGATTTCAGAGAATTTGGTGCAGTTTTCTGCTGGTCAGACTTTGAGACCAGATTGATGACTATTTAAGATCATCATAAACCAGCTAAGAACATCTTTGGCTGGTTTAGGTTGACCTTTTCAGCAGGATAAATCGTAAAATATATCTTAAAATCTCTAGATTCAGAATTACAGTTGGATTAAACTGACAGAGGTGTTGCAGACTTTAACATAGCATAGAAAAGCAGCATCTTAAACTATTAGCTGCTCTCCTAGCCTGCTCAGACTGATCTTTTTGCAGGTTTTTAGAGAGGTTTATAGCACTTCTACTAATCAGACTGGCAGAACAGATGGACAACCACCTAAGACAATCATAAAACAGCAAAGACCAGCAGACTATGGTTTAAAATGTCATTTTCAGCAAGGTAAGCCTTAAAATCAACGATAAAGTTGCTACTGTAAATGATCTTTGCATGCACATACATTTTGTACATTATGACCTGACGTAACCCTTCTGGTTCTAATCCCGTCACTTGCTCTGAGCGGGATTCGAGCATTTCTAGCATGGAAGGCGTGCGCTATCAAGGATGCTAAAGACAGCAGCCTCTAGCATCAGTCGCTAGTGCGCCTGTTGAGATCAGGGCAGTGAGGTTTACCTGCACAGCTCTTACTAGCTGGCCTCCGTTACACTGAGACTAAACATACATTTTCATTATATTGTAAATTTAGCATAAATAATAGACTCTGTATCCGCATTCAGACTTTAGGTTGATAAAAATAGACATATAAATCCTCTCATGATGCTTCTTAAGTCACTATTCACTCTGTGCTATCAGTCAGTCAACTGAAGCTTGTCTGTCACGTGGATCCAAAACCCTGAGAATGAACAGAAGATGAGAAAGAGAGATAGTGAAGGAGGAGAAGTATCGTAGGTGTTTGGAAGTGTGCCCATGGACCCCTAGGGGCCTCTGTGGTGCCCTGGTGGCGGTGAATTAATCACGACGAGGTGTCATCTTGTGCTACGGTGCGGGCCCTCAATACGAGGAGACAGGTCGCTCCTGAGACAACGTCTCATGGGAAATAGGGGTTGACCCGCATTGTTCTCTCTCTCTCTCTCTCTCTCTCTCTCATTCACTCACTCACTCTCTCACTTAATTTGGGCTTCCATTGATTTGTAAGAGCCAATCACTTCAGTTTGTTTTTACGGTAATTAGTCATCTGTGAGTTCACAACAGACTGCAATCAGCAGTGCGCGTGTACCTGCGGCCCCAGATACCTCGGCAGCAGTCTATACCAATTAGTGAAGTGTCAAGACGAATGAAATGTTAGCATAGCGTTGGAGCTGTGGGCTAGTGGTTGATGCATTACCTAAGGTTTTTCTTTTTGGACATGGGACCATAGCAATAACATATTGATTTGGACATTAATGTTTGCTAAAGTACTTGAGGTGAGTTGGGTGCTCATACAGGAAATGTTATTTCGAATCCGACTCGCAACATTTTCCAAACCCCTGTCCCCCATCATTTCATGTCCTTTGTTTTCCCTGCAAGAGTCTGTCCTACCCATAATGACTAAAACCAATTATTAATAATAATAATAATTATAATTATTATAATTATGCTTTGTTAGGACAATACTATTTCTAGTTAATAATAATAATAATAATAAACAACTATTGTTACTGTAATAAACATTAATGCTGTTGTCACTACGACTACTATTAATAAAATGTATTTTATTATTAGTGCTGTTGTTTTTGCTATTACTTTTTTTTGCTGAATGACTTTTTCACTTCGCGTGTTCTGGATTTTATGTTTTTGACAGAAACCTGGCTTCATGCTGGTGAGTTAACTCCTTTTTCTGAACTTCTTCCTCCCTGCTGTGACTTTCTAAGCTCCCCTCGGACCACCGGCAAAGGTGAAGGGCTGGCTTCTGTGTTTAAATCCGTTTTTCACTGTCAGGAGATCTCGGTGGATGCCTGCAGCAGTTTTGAATTACAGCTTTTTGAGACAAACTTTCCCGTGACTGTGTTATGTGCGGTGGTGTATCGACCTCTAAAGTATAATAAGGATTTTATTTAGGATTTTGCAGACTTTGTAGCTGGGGTTTTATTGAAATATGATCGCTTTTTAATTATTGGTGATTTTAACATACACGTGTGCTGTGAATCCAAACCTCTGGCTAAAGATTTTCTCAATCTTATTCATTCGTTTAATCTCACGCAGTTTGTCACTGGTCCGACCCATGAAAAAGGTCATACTTTGGACCTTGTGTTGTCTATGGTTTATGTGTTACCATCAGTGAAATATGTGACATAGGTATTTCAGATCACCTGCCTGTGTTATTTACTGTGGTTGTTCCCAGTTCGGAGATCTCTACCTGTGCTTCTGCACGCAGTGTTCATGCAATTAACCCTTTAACTGACTCACAGTTTTCTATTGCTTTTAAAGACTCATTGCTGTACTCGATGCAATCTCGATGATTGTAATCTCAGTGTAGAGAAATTCACCGTTTTATTTGACTGTACTTAAACTGAGATATTTGAACTTTGTTGCTCCGTTGAGAACCCTTTCAGAACCCTGATTGAATGACATTACTCGCTCTCTCAGACGCGCCTGCAGAATAACGGAGAGAAAGTGGAAAAAGGATCAACTCAGAGTCTTGTTTGATATTTTACAGGACACATTACGTAAATACCAGGGAGCAGTAAAATCTGCTAAAACAAAAATGTTTTCCCATCTTGTAGCCAATAATAGCCAGAGGTCTCAGGTTCTTTTCAATGTTTTTAACTCTCTTGTTAAAGGGATAGTTCACCCAAAAATGAAAATTAGCCCATTATTTACACACCCTAAAGACATCATAGGCGTATATGACTTCTTTCTTTCAGATGAATCCAATCGGAGTTATATTAAAAATTGTCTTTGATGTAGTTCATCAGTCCAAAAGATGTGAAATAAAGTGCATCCATCCATAATAAAAAGTTCCTCACACTGCTCCGGGGGGTGAAAAAAGGCGTCCTGTAGTGAATCGATGCATTTTTGTAAGAAAAATATCCATATTCAAAACTTAATAATCACTTTAATGTAGCTTGCGCCAACAGTTGTACACGGAAGCAGCTCCGGGCAGATGACGAAAGATGTCGGCGTTGCGCATGCGCCGGTGAGTCTCATGAAAACCAACGTTTGTTTACAGGAGCAAAGGAACTAAGAAGCAAATATTCCTAACCCTAACATCTAGACTAGACTACTGTAACTCTTTATATTTTGGATTGGATCAGTCTTCTCTTCAACGCTTACAGTTAGTCCAGAATGCAGCAGCTCGGCTCTTAACTGGGACTAAAAAGCGTGAGCACATTACCCCAGTTTTAGCTTCGCTCCACTGACTTCCTGTCCGCTTCTGGATTGATTTTAAGATTTTATTGTTTGTTTTTAAGATCTTAAATGGGTTGGCGCCTTCTTATTTATCAGAGCTTTTACATGTCCACACTCCTAAGCACTGAGTTCATCCAATCAGATGCTCCTCAAAGTTCCGAGATCCAGGTTAAAAAATAAAGGTGATCAAGCTTTTTCAGTGGTTGCTCCTAATCTATGGAATAGTTTACCTGTTCACATAAGAACTGCTCGGACTGTTGTAACCTTTAAGTCATCTTAAGACACACCTGTATTCCTTAGCTTTCATTTCGAGATGTGTTTGGACATTGTGACTTTTTCTACTGTGCTTGTTTTTGTTTGTATGTGTATCCTGATATTGTTAAGCACTTTGCTCAACCATGGTTGTTTTTCAATGTGCTATATAAATAAAATTGAAATTGAAATTTTAAATCGAAAATGACTTGTTTTATTACTGCTGTTGTTAATAAAAATTATAATAATTATTATTACTATTGTCATTATAACATGTATAACTAATTGACCTTATGATAAGTCTTGCAACTTGTTTGTTTGTGTATTTAACATCACATTTAAGAATTTAACATAATATTAATAATAATAATAATTATTATCATTAATTGTATAACTAATTGACCTTATGATAAATCTTACATACTACTAGTTTATTTATTTATTTATTTAACATCAGATCAGCTTTGTTCTCATTGTAAACAGACAAATTACTTAGAGCTGGAAACTTGATGCATCACGCCTGGTCAGAACACATGTTAACATTACCGTGTACTGTGTTTTTATTTTAAAAAAAAAATTTTTTACCATGAGAACAGTTTACTGCAAGACTTGGAGAGAGGTGAAAACTGGATGATTCATCCCAACTGTTCCGAGAGAGAGTTTCACTCCCCCGCTACTCTCAATGTTCTGTCTCATTCTCTTTCTCTCTTTCACACACAAGTACACTGTGAGATTGTGAATGTCAGATGAGTATGTCTCAGTGTGTCATGCTCTTTTATTCCTGTGCTCTTCCTGTACCTCAGTAATGATGTGTTTTATTCTATATACAGTCTACTCAGATCTCACTTTATATTAGGTGTCTTTAACTACTATGTGTTTGTTCAAAAATAATGAACTGTTGTAAAAATGTTGTATTGCAAATCACATTTGCTGCTATTGAGATGGGATATGGTTAATGTTAGAGGCAGGTTTGGTTAGGTTTAAGGGTGGGTTAAAGGGTAGGGGTAGGGTCAACAGTGTAATTGTAGATGTAACTACAAAAATTATATAGTATACAGTATATTTACAGTATACTTAGCCGTAGGTATTTTTTAAATATAAATACAATGTAAAAACTTGTATATACACAATAAGTGCATTGTATCAAATGATTAATTTAAATGCAAGTACATAGTTGTTGAAGTTATTAAACAAGTAGGCTGCTAAATGATTACCACATTCATATACCATGGTGTTTACATGGTACTACAAAAAAAGTAGGGTATTAGGTATATACTCAAAACACAGAGTTTCCTTATAATAAAGTATTAAAATTAATTTGTAATTATAATTTTTTAAAAACACATATATAATAATACATTTTAAATACTACTACTAATAATAAAAATAGTAAATTATTATTATGGGTAGGACAAAAAGTTATTGGTGGTTATTAGTACAAATGTATAATAATAATAATAATAATAATAATAATAATAATGTTGTTGGTAGGACAAAAGGCATGATAACATGGTACTCCACAGTAATTTCAAAAATATTACCATGGTACCATATCCAAAAACACATTTCTAAAATACCATGGTAATTTCAAAACTACCATAGTAACGCCAAAGTTCCTTTTTTATTGATAATGAAAGCAGAAGTGTACTGCAGTGATATACGGCTTCGTTAGAGTCACTGCTCTCTGGACACACTGACACACATCCAAACACATCTGAAGAAGCTAAAGAAGGCGGCAAATGGATTGAGGAAGTGTCTCCTCCGTCCATTGGATTGTGTGCAGCAGCCGCAGAGTTTTCCATCACCGGCTCCAGGCCCAACTCAGAGCTCCACTATCATCGAATTACGCTTTATTATCGCTCCCTGTCCAACACATGGGCCCCAACATGACATCCATCTCCTCCACTGCAGCGTTCACCACCTGACAAGTGCTCAGACCTCTGCTGTCATTCTCATTGCTGAAAGCAAAAAAACGACGGCACAGTCAGTCCAGCCTGAAAGGAAGGGACCAGCAAGGCGCTTGTTTGTGGAGATGAAGAGGAGGTGTGTTGGATAATGATGGCTAGTTCGTGATGGATATATTTGGTGTGGAGCGTAGGTGGAAACACAAGTAGGTGCAAGTAAACCGAGGCATATTTTGAAGAGACGTCTGGGATTCGATTAAAGCAGGCTTTATTCTAATACCTATAGGAATGAATAGGTAGGGACGCATTCGGAATGGGAGCTGCGAAAAGTCACCGTGTTTATTCAGGCTAAAAAAAACTTTCAGCATATGCAGACAGCAGAAGCCACACACGCGGTAATGATGAAGTGCAGAGACGCTATGATATTATTCTTGTGCATTTTGTCCCCACAGCCGTCAACGACTGTCTGTTCGCACAACATCAGAAAATAAGGCTTGGGGCGATCTCAAAACGTCTGGCTTCCTCTTTTGATGCACACATTCGCTAACATCATCCGTTCCATCCATACAGCGTGGAGAACGTCGCCAGTGATTCACATGGGGTCATATCACAGGGTTCTGAGGCTGCATATGTTACCACCACATGCAATAGAGAGATCAGACCATAAGGGTATTTCAGTGCAACATCTAACGGTGGAATACGAAAAACTTCAGGACAGTATTTCTGAACATGTTCCACTGGTGACCAGTGTATAACACTGAGGCTTTTTTCTGCTTCTTGCTGTCTTGTAAACAAGCTGATGTTGCTAACGATTACATCAGCGATGGCAATTAATGTCGATGACAAAATTTATACTCCTCCTCGTTGGAAATCTGACTAGGCTGCCCAAACGTGTCGGTTTTAATAAAGTTTAAGTCCTCCAACCGATAACTGTTGTTGGTTTATCAATTTTGCTACGTCGCTGTACAATAGACTGTTGGATAGTGAATTCACACCAGAATAACCTTACAAAAAAAGTACTATGTTACAGTGATAGTATCAGATAGTTTTACTATGTTACTTTGATGCATTTACCATGTACCATGGTATTTTGGACATGTACACATTAGAAGTATATAAATACCATGCTACATGAATTGTAGTACCATGGTATGGTTCAAAGTACCAACACAGTCTTTTGTGTATATATATATATAATGTAATATAGTCTATATTATAATAAAAAAAATAATATAATATAATACATATTTTCTCTAATACACACTGGCTACAATTAATGGCACCCTTTTATTCGATACTCTTTGCACTTTTGCCAAGATAACAGCTCTGAGTCTTCACCTATAATGCCTGATGAGTTTGGAGAACACCTGACAAGAGATCAGAGACCATTATTCTTTACAGTATCTCTCCAGATCCTTCAGTTTCCCAGGTCCATGTTGATACACTCTCCTCTTTAGTTTTGTATAGGGTTCAGATCAGAGGACTGGGATGATCATGGCAGAACCTTCATTTTGTGCTCAGTGGCCCATTTTTGTGTTGATTTTGATGGTCTTTTTAGATCATTGTCCTGATGGAAGATCCCAACATGGCCCATTATAAGATTTCTAGCAGAGTCAGTCAGGTTTTGATTTTTTATCTGTTGGTATTTGCTAGAATCCATGATGCCATCTATCTGAACAAGATGTCCCGGACTTCTGGCAGAAAATGCTTTTTTATCCCTGTGTGCATCAAACCCACCTTGAGGGTTTCCTATATAGACAATATAGACACATTAGACAATATACTATAGATAGATTTGTAACATTTCCTGTTGATTGGAACTCCTTCATTATTGTTCTAATGGTGGAAATGGAAATTTTCATTGCTTTATTTATTTCGTTTTTACTTTATATTTTGTTCTGTTTTTTATGACTTCATATTCTATGAAGTTTAACAATCTGTTGCTGCACATCAGAACTATATTTTTTTATTTTACACCTTGTGATGGATGATTAAGGGATTTTGGCCTTTGTGTTCCTCATATTTATACTCCTGTGAAACTGGAAGTCATGGCTGTAAAATGTCATGTTCCTAGCCACCCTGGTGTGCTAACAAATGGAACTATAGGTCTTCAGAGATTTTACTCATAATAATTTCTAGGGGTACAAATAATTGTGGCCAATGTGAATTAGAAAAAAATATATATATATATTTTTTAAATATTTTTTGTTTTACTTTTTAACTTGTATTTTTTTATTTAATTTTTATTTATTTACTTATTTTTAAATATAAAAAAGGATAAACAATACAGATTTATCATCACAATCTTCTTTGATCATACGTACTTAGGGTGCCAATAATTCTGACCATGACACTCTCTCTCGTTCTCTCTCTCCATAAATAACAGCTGCTTTATGTATAACATAATAAACAATAATAATAAAAATGCTGCAAAACTGACAACACCTGATTGCAAGAATTTATGCAAGAATCCATTATAAAACAGATTTCTAGGCATTCCTTTTCTTATATTCCACACCTGATGTGTGCAGTTTATTTTGCTTGCTTTAAAAATGTTTCCTCTTGTTCAATAAAGTTTTTTTTATGTTTGATTGCAGTCGTTGATATATGATATGACATATGATATGATAATTAAGTATAAAATGTG